AATATATATTTTTTTAAAAAGTATTATTAAAAATTTCAATAATGTCCATTTTCATTCACACATGTTTACTCTCCCCAAGCTCTTTTTAAGGGTTCCATATGCTCCCGGGAAGCAAGAGCTGATGCCTTCCTATTACTTGCAAAGTTGCTTCACTCCAGTTCATTTTCCTTGTTAATTTCATGAACTATTGGATTCGTACAATACATTTCCTATTAATATTGGAGCAAGGACCCTTTGGTTATGCTAGTCAAACTACCATTAAGTCAGCAGCTGGGATCTTTATAATGCATAATAGGGTTGCTTCTGCCCTCTTTAATTTCCAGGTAATGATTGTTGAGTGTCTGGGGTTCTATCTTTTACCGGTTTCAAACATTGTATATATTTAGCCACACTTCTTTCCTTCCTTCCTTTTAAGTGTTTTAACTGCAGGAATACTAACTAAGTCAAGTGATTCAGCTAGAGCATGTTGGCATCTGTTTTAAGCCAGTAAAGTCCAGAGAGTGAGTCACTGTGGTCAGTATTGCACAGTCTGCATTTTGAATGCCTATGGAATCAGTATTTTGACATTCTGTTTTAAAAGCCTTAGTAAAACACTGCTAGCATCAACTAATTTGAAATTATTTTTCTACTTTTGCTGTCCAGACTGTGTATTATTCTATGTAATGTTAATGGGTCCAATTCCAGTGAGTAAAATAGCAATGTGGAGGGATAAATTTTAATTTTTAATCATTTTGATTGTGCAGAGCATGACTTTTTAAAAATTCTCACAGATGCATCCTGGTTTTTATTGTTATTTTAGTGATTTTTACCAAAGGTGTCTCAATGAGTGTTTTCATATTTATAAGTTAATGATTTATTTTTTTATTGTCTAGTTTTACATATGTCTCCTTTTCCCCCAGTTGAAACCCCCCCCCCCCCGATTTATTTCTTAGATGTATTTTTTTTCAAATGAGGAAAATTAAAATGGATTCATATAATTAAAAAGAACATTATGTGCTTCTATGACACTTATTGAAACTCCCCCCCCCAATTAGATGCATTTTTTTTCAAATGAGGAAAATTAAAATGGATTCGTATAATTAAAAAGAACATTATGTGCTTCTATGACACTTACTTGTCGTGTTCTTTATACTCCTTTTTTATGCCTTATTTTGAAACCTATTGGGACACTCTCTTACAGAGGCACTTAGTGCTGGTGTTAGAAGGCTCTACAGAAATAATCTTACTGAGCATCTGTTCTTGGAGAGCTTTAGGACAGGACACTCAGGTGCTTACCTTAGCAGCACTTAGGGACTGGCAAGGTCAAAAAAATAATAATCCCGAAACACTATTCCAAGCTGATTCAAAAGGCTTTTACTAGGGTGAAAAACTTGTCTTGGTTTGTCTGGAATTTTCCTGGTTTTAAAATAGAAAGTCTCATGTTCTAGAAACTCTTCAGTCTTGAGAAAACCAGGCTGGTTGGTCACTCTACTCTCTATGATTATATTACAAATTTTCAGGTGGATCCACAGGTCTATGGACAAATGTCCAACTATCCCGAGTTAGCGCCAGGGAAGTCTCACTTATGTCTCTTGGCTCTGGAGTCCCCCCCTCTAGAATAAGGTGATTGCATTAGATGGTCTCTGGGGACTTGCTTGTCAAAGTGCACCAGCCTCCCCGGGGTTCTGTCGGAAGAGGGAATCACAGACTCCGCCCCAGACATCCTGAGTCAGGACCCTCAGGTGATTTATATTCAAGTTTGAGAAGCACTGCCCTCAGGTCCTTCTAACCTTACCCTTCTATGACTCTATCCCTCGCATTTGTGCTGAGTGACTTGATCTTTGTCCCAGAGCATTATAACCTCATTAGGAATATGTCAGAGCTAATGAGCAATTTGAATTCAGCGTGGATACAAACTTTGCTGCATTTCAGGGAGACAGGATTAATTTGTTGTGCTACTTGCCCTGGAGCAAGCACCCTAAGAGTTGATTTACAAAGCTCTCACAGTCATGATCTTTTGGGGTTGCATGCTGATGGAGATCTGATATGGCACAAGCACCCTGCTGTCTTCACTTTCCACTCTTACCCCCTCCCTCACCCTGAGGTCCCAGAGTGTGGCCTTGCATAGCTGTGTAAACAAGGCACCACATTTTCCTTTTGCGAACAACCAAATGATTGGAATGGAATTTCTTCCTTGGAAGTCCCCCCCTCTATGGTCCCATTTCACTATTAGTTTTTTTGTTTGGCATTGGTAACCTTCTGTCCCTGCCCCTCGCTACCTTTTTTAAGTCAGATGGGTACCCACATTTGTGACGCTTCCTGTTTTATAGCTTCCTTGGACTCCACCCTAGCAGTTGGGTTGACAGGCATGTAAATATTTCATCTGTATAGAATTGTCAATCTCTATAGGGCAGAGTTTAGTTTTATGCTTTGTTAAAATGCCAACAAACTTGATGTGCATGAGAGCTGCTTACATTGTTCTCTCCCTCACTCACCAGTTCTAAAACAGGCTTTCTGTAGGAGCCACAGGTGTTGAGGATCCTGTTCTTTTCCCAGCTTCTCTTTCTAACAATCTGATCTGCCCAGCTCACCCTTCCTGAAGACAGGGATGGAGTTAGCCCTACCAATGTAAGGCAGAACTTCATTTCGGAAAACTACATCAGTGACTCATTTTCTCCAGAGGTTCCATAATGATGACATGCCTAACATAGTGCTTGGATTTATCCATCCCCAAATTTAGATAAATGTTTTCTTTTGCACAGGGATAGTTACATGGAATGAGCATATTATCCCCAATAATATTTTTTTTCCCTATATGTCAGTTGGAGCTGTTATTTAAAAAAAAAATTTATTTTATTTTAAATCTTTACTGAAAGTGTTATATATGTCCCGCTTTTTCCCCATTGATCTCTTCTAGCCCCCCCCACCCCCAGCCTCAGGCCTTCACCACCCCATTGTCTGTGTCCATGAGCTATGCATTTTTGTGTGCTCCTTCCAGATCTCCTTTATAAACTCCTCTCCTTCTTGTCTCTTTGCTGGTGTTTCTTAGGATTCTGTGAGGAGCTTTCCTTTCTCTCAAGTCATCCTCTTCCCAGGTGATCTTGGTTATTTCATCACTTCAGTTAACATTCACTGATGCTTCCAGGTTTTCTTCATTTAGTCTCTACTGAGCTCCAGACCCACTAATCCAACTGCCCTTAGGATTGACACTGTCCAATATTACAGCCACATATGGCTCATTCAAAATTGAGATGTGACGTAATTCTAAATTATACACCACATTTTTAAGACTTGCTATGAAAAAAGAATGTAAAAGATCTCAATAATTTGGTTATATTGATTATGTTGAAATGATAATATTTTGGATACACTGGGCTAAATCTATTATTATAATAATTTCACCTTTTTTTCTTTTTAATATAGCTACTATAAAATTTAAGATTATGTCTTTGGCTTTCATTAATGGTTTGCATTATATTTCTATTGAACAGCAATGCTTTAAATATTTTTACTGGAGTGTTTAATAGGCATCTAAAACCTGACTTGCCAAAACTCAGTTTTACAGTCTTTATCCACAGACCTGTTTCCCTCTGGGGATTCTGAGAAATGCTTATTTCACACGAAAATCATCTACCAAGTACAGTCCATTTTCCCTCTCCCAAAAATTCCTCTTGAGTCTTTCTACTTCTATCCTTCCCAACTTCCTCCCCTAGTCCAGGCCACCATACCTCTTACCTGTATAATCACAACAGCTTCTTAGCTTGCCATCTTGCTATGCTCCCATCCTTGAACTTTATAATTGCAGATCTGGTCCTGCTCTTCATTCATTCCCTTGTTTGAAACTTTTAAAGCTTTCCCAGTGCCTTTAAAAGAAAGTCCAACATTTTAAGTATCTCATGAGCCCTTTATGACCTGTTTCCTGTTTATAATTCTAGCATCGTCTCTCAACACACTGCCCTCCTTCTTTGCATTTTGTCTCAGCCACACTCACCTTCGTTGTGCTTTTCAATTCATAATGTTCAACTTCCATTGAACTCAGCAGGAAAGTCATTTTCTCTGGTAAACTTCTCTGAGTTTTCTGTACAGGTTTCGATAGCCTTGCTGTGTGCTGGCTCCATATACTTGCACTAACCAATATTCATAGACCCTACATAGCTTTAAAAATTTCCCATCTCTTCTTCTAGATGGTATGCCGTGTAAGAATAGGGTTTCTATTGTGTGTGTGTGTGTGTGTGTGTGTGTGTGTGTTTGTATTATAGTACCTATTACCATTTTGAAACATAATGATTCTATAAAATTAG